CCGTGAGATCGAAAAAAAAACCGGTTTAGTCAAAAATTCTCTTAGTGGCAGGTTCGTAATTTCTTGTTGAAATTCACGTTTTTTGTTGTTCTTGTCACAAGAAACCTTTCAAGGTACACCGCTAATCAGGATTTTTTAACTTTAACCCGAATTTTACTCCACCAGATTAACTAAAATCTTTTTTGTTTGTTATAATTTTAAACATTTTATTTGATGAAATCCATATTAACATTTTTAATTGCTAATTTATGTTGACTTGATTTTTTTTTTCATTTATTGTGATTTTAATTAAAGTAAGTTGCAACATGAAACAATCAAAACATAATTAGCTTTATGGATAAGTAAAAAAAAAAATTTAACCATTTTTTGTACCAGAAAAAACACTGGAAAAAGAATTCATTCATTAGCAACCTTTAAAGCACAAAACATGTAGTTTTATAACAAGAAGTCGAATATTTGAATCAGAGAGAGAGATCTGGTGAAATCACTCCTGTTATGTCTAAATCGAATCACTAAGCAGAAAGAAACACAAGAGTTTTAAGAATCGAATCAGAGAGGAATCTGATGAAACTCCTTCTTCTGTATCTCTAAATCGTCGTCACTAAGCAGAAACCGGCTTCTTCATCAGTTCAGCAGCACTCAAGAGAGACTTGGCTGGTGAAACCAAAGCCACACCTCCATTCTCTGCCTTTGAGTACTTCTTGTACACAGCACGTAACCTGCTCTCTCCGCATCTCGAGTGAAGGAAAGCCAGAAGCTTTGAGCAATCCCTACAACACAACAACAAAACAAACCGTATAAGTTTCTCCTACAATGAAGCAAACAAAAACTAAACAGATGATGATATGAAAGTTGTTTTCTGTTCTTACATAATCTCAGATTCTGAGTAGCCAGTGTGGAACTTCAAAGTATCAGTCCAAGCAGGAGACTTGTTCAATGAGCATCTCGCAGTGTAAACAGCCGAAGCCGCAAGCATGGAAGGACAGAACATCAATGTGTCATAATGCATCATCCCTAACTCAGCAAGAAAGTGAACCATATTGTCCATCTACACATGATACAACAACAAAACCAGTATCAGTCTCTTTCCAATCTCAATTTCAAGAAGAAAAAAACACACAACTTTTAAGCATTAAATCCACTTACCTCTGGATCAGACATCGAAGCTTTGATGAAGCGGACAAGGAAGACATATTGAGTTGGGACTGTCAAATACCATTCAAGGTTTCCAAGGATTGTTTTCTCCATCACTAGAATCTGCTTGCTGTTGTAAGCATTGTCAGTCACATACACCAAATCGTTCACCTACACATTTTCACAGATCACACCAAATCAGCAACATATACATAAACACAATCACTCTTTCATATCAAATTGCTTAACAAACATGTACCTGAGGCGGCCAGATTTCCTCATACTTAGAAGCAATAAGCAAGGCACTGATTCCAAGTAGCTGCAACTCTCTTTTCGGAACAGCTTTCACAGAGAGGAATCGATCAATGATGTTGACAGTAAGGTAAAGAGTTTCAGGGGTAAGCTCAAACTTGATGTGAACTTCAAGCAACCAATCTACCAAGATCGCTCTCATCTTCTCATTCATATCAGTCTGAATATGCATATACATCTGAGGCTGACTCTCCTTCTCAACTTCTTTATAGTAAGAGTACATATCATCAACATACTCCACTGCAGCCAAATGGTTATCTTTATCAGATTCATCGATATCAAGAATCTTCGGTTTATTGGTTATACCACACGCAGCTTTACTCCTAGCACTAAGAACAGACGAGTATGTCACTTTCTTGTTCTTCGGTGACACTGCAGCTACTTCCTTTGACTTCTCCTCTTCCTTCGTCTCAATCACTTTAGCCTGTTGCTTAATCACAAGGTTCTTCTTCGGAATCGCTCTTTGAGCCTCTGGGTTTCTTGGAGCAAGAGGTTGTCGTTTCTTTGGGACAAGAACTTGAGCC